CAGCTTTTGAACTTTTATCTTTTTAGGGTGGGGGAGTGGCTGAAATCAAAAGGGTCACACATAAAACCGCGTGTGTGCGTGTTTGGCCAAGCGAGGGTGAGTAAGGGCACATACCTGGTTTGTACAAATGTGTAAAAATGTCTTTAGCATCTTATGTGTCCTTGAACTTTATGTGTACATAATATAATCACAAAGCCTCAAGCTTGCAGAAAACACACAAACACACATGACCACATACCTTTTTCGAACCGGCGAAGCCCTCAGACTCCAGGAAGAAGTAGGCAAAAGGCATCAGCACAAAGAGACAGAGATTTGAGAAAAGGGACACCAGGTTCCACAGGCCTGAAGAAAGATAAATCAGTTCATTCAACTTTCATTTCATTTCAACTTTAAGCTCAGCTACTTAACCTGATCCATATCATTTAACACAATAACAGCAATTGGATAACAATCCCCCCATCCCTTGTTCATTAAACATTTTGTCTAATTTGTTATAGTTGGTATGGTTTGACACATTTAAATCGATTCCACAGATTTTTCCTCCAAAACAAATGAATGAAAAAAGTTCAAGAATCAAAACTTCTAGTCTTCATTTTTTTCAAAACCCCAAACATTCTCATCTAAAACAACCCAAAAAAAAACTGCTCTCAAAAGCTCAGGTTAACAGAGAAACCATCTGCACAAAAAAACAGACACATGACACCACCTTGTGGAGATGACTGAATCTAAGGAGAAAAATACTTCGAGCTGTATTGAAATTATTATAAAGAGTCAGGTGTATGGCCTCAGCAACACACTGTATGCATTGTTCAATGCACAAATCATTTAATAAACACTTTCTAGGAAACACACAAATTAAACGTTGTAATTTTGATTAAAAGTATCCAAAGGTAAGGACAAATAACATAATGTGTTTTTAGAAGAACAAAGTAAACCGTTAGCAGAACACAAGCAGCATTTATTTCTGCAACAGTCTGTGAATGTCACCTAATGCATGACAGACAATATGTACAACCTTATGCAAAACTACTTAAGTAACACATATTATATTAAAATAAAAAAAAGGTGTGATACTGACCATGAATGAGTGATCCATTGAGCCATTGTATGTAGTAGTTTTTTGGTAGGGAGAGCACAATCTCATAACTGATTATAGAAAATGGTAAGAGAAGGACAGCTCCTCCAGACACTGCCAGTGTGAATGTACACAGGTACATCCTGAGAAAAGGCAGAAACAAAGTAAAAAGTTAGTGAAAAGCATGGTAATAATTCTTGTACATTATTATGAATGATTTTTAATCAGTTTTATTTTCACATTTAAGGTAATGATGTAACAATATGGGGTTACATTAAGAAAATACAAGTGATTACAACTCAAGGTACAGTGGAAGATTTTATAAGAAAATGTTAAACTAAGGATTCTTTGATATTAAGTTGTATATACCTGGATCCTTTAAATGCACTATAAAAAACAGCACTTGTTATCATGCCAGATACGGTCAGTATCAAACAACTCACGATATTCTGTTGACAATGGCATCCTCATCTTCCTGATCATCTGTTGGCATAAGAAAAAAACATAAAATCAACCAATAAACCAGACACAGATTTAAAGTCATTTTGTTTTTGATAGAGATTATGTTCTTAGTGCTTCGTGCTGTGATGCTCTGACAATCTTTATCAGAAGTGTCAGTCAGCGGGGGTTTTTTTCTTTTCTTTACTGTGAATTTGCAACACAAAAAGCCTTAGCTACAGAGGTCACAGAAACATGACAGATGTTTTAATAAGTCTAAAGCATGATCTGTCTTCATTTAACTAAAAGCTACTTGAAAACAATACTGGTTAATCATAAATCACAAATATGTGAATAAACCTTTACAATCAACCGGCCAGATGGAGGCTGTCAAGAGTCAATGCGGGTTCGAGAGTAGAGGGGGAGAGGAATGACTTAAGAAGTGGCAAAAAGCGTAAGAGAGAGATGGATAGAAAGTGCAGAACAGCACTTTAAACTAATTACACAAATTGCATTGAAAAAGCCTCTACATGAGGCCTGAGGTCCTAGAGCTTTACAGTCATGCTTCACAATAGCAGCTGTACTTTTATAGAGACAGGAGTCTTAAGAACAACCTAGTTTCACCTGCGATCACCGCTCTCCACAGGGGTTAGCTGACATTACTTATGCTACTTTTAAATAGGAGGGCATGACCTGATCAGGAACTAAAATCGTCCTCATGTGTAAAGGAGGCTGGAGGTGGCAGCACCTTGTGTTATGGAGTTGGATAATGCTCAAAAGATTACTATAAGGTGTTATGGAGTTCTAAAAGGTGTAAACCCCCTAAAAGTGTGCAAGCAACCAAACAACCTGTCCTTTTGTCATCTAGGAATTTGATCTAGACTAAATCTGAGGAGCTCACATGTTATATTAAGTTATAAATATTAATATAGGTAAACATTAATATATAAATATAATTATACATAGTAAATATTATAAATACAATTGCATTTAAATAGTACAAGAGTTCGATTAGAAAAAGAACTGTATTATTCATGCTTACCGCTTTTTCTCTTGTAGCGTGAGATGATGCAGTACGACACAATGTACAGCACTGCAAACAAGAGGAAGCAGACCTAGAAACACACGAGACCAGAGTGTATTTTAAGAATATGGACTGATGGGTGTGTGTATGTAAACATGCCGTTCATGTTTGAACTTTTACTCGTATTACACCTTGCTTGTATCTTCACAGAACTACAGAGCACTAACAAAGTTCTGCATTAGATAAATGCAACTGTGCTCCACCATTAAAATAAACCTACAACAGGGCTAAGTATCTGTTAACACAAGGAATTCAGATTAGAAGGAATTCATAGGTCAGGTTGCTTTGGAATAACAAATAACTTCTATTAAAGCATAAATAATATGCTTAACAACCCTTTGCAGAGTGAAGCACAGACGTTTTGTGTGCTCCACTGGAAGACAGCACTCAAAATCCACACCTCCAGACAAACCCAAAGTATTTCCATTCTCCAATCCAAAACCTAATAATACAGGAACATTCAGCAAATCTGCTCTTCAATGAACTGTATTCATAATCATTTGTTATTAATCTTAAAGCTTGACAATGTCAAACACTGGTCAGCAGTCTCACAAGCTAAAAAGTGAAGTGAAGTGTGGCCAAGTATGGTGACCCATACTCGGAATTAGTGCTCTGCATTTATCCCATCCAAAGTGCACACACACAGCAGTGAACACACACACACCGTGAACACACACCCGGAGCAGTGGGCAGCCATTTTTTGCTGCGGCGCCGGGAGAGCAGTTGGGGGTTCGGTGCCTTGCTCAAGGGCACCTCATCTTTTGTTAGTTTTGACTGTTTTTATCGTCCTCATTTGTAAGTCACTTTGGATAAAAGCGTCTGCTAAATGACTAAATGTAAATGTACAACCAGTCTTAAGTCACTGGGGTATATTTGTGCAAATAGCCAAAAATACATTGTATAGGTCAAAATTATCGATTTTTCTTTTATGCCAAAAATCATAAGGATATTAAGTAAAGATCATATTCCATGAAGGTATTTGGTAAATTTCCTACTGTAAATATATCAAAACTGAATTTTTGATTAGT